CCTCTTTATGTGTTTCTGAGACTAGCACCATCTATGCATTACACGCAACATAACATGTTTTCTAGTTATTTATTTGTATAACATATCATCAATCCACATCTATGTGACATTTCATGTCGTATTTTCACAATATTATAACACACCTTCCCATGAACATGTCATTCTTCATAACATAATATTTTATGTATTTTGCATAAATACAATACAATTTTTTGCATATTGTTATATGTAATTTCTTAGTCATTTTCGGTCCTTCCTACACGTAATATTTTCAAAACTTTATAGACGTGCTACATATTTGTAAATGTATTTCCACAACGTGTGGCATTTAACTCATAACAATATGAGCTATTATGTTTGTATGAAGAAGTTGTTTATGCATGATGTAATGTCAATGTCTTGTTTACTATATTGTAACACTTTTTAATCTTTATATCATAGGAATAAGAATACTATATACATCCAAATAACAAGTTCGGTGGGAGTGTTATGATCTGCTCTAGATATGATATCATAAAAAATCTAAATCTGAATATGACACCATCTTAGAAAGAGTTATTCGGGCGTACTTGCTTCGATCATTTTCTTGACATGAAGGAAATTTGACCGCAACATCAATTAATTTACAAAATCTTGATTATCATGAGGCATACGAAACACGAAGAATTGTAGTTCATGATTTTTGGCAAATTTCATAAATTTTTGATCTAGTAGTTTTGTCTCGTGACTGAGTTGAGATGTACCGATGATGAACCATAAAAAATTCAAAAAGACAAATGTCACATCAATATAAAAGTTCTTTAGCCTTTATTGTGAACATATCTGCACCCTATTGGACGAGTAGTCCCTATGTATCATCATCGCAACTTATGAACACCTTTCTTGCTTCCATAGATGCAACAAATAAAAGAATTATTTTCACATCTCTCTTGTTTAGCCACATTATTATCCAAATATAAAATTGAATTCACTAATATTATAATCAGTAATTCGCAATTCTTACTTCTGCTGATTTCAACGAAATGTTTTGAATCAATAAGTTAGCAACGAAAATAGATGTTATATTAGTATGTATAGTTTTTGTTCCCCAATGGTTCAAACAATTGAAATAACAATAAAATTATCTGATAACACCATCCAGCTGAGAGTTCATAAAGCTCGAAGTGCGATTACCTGTTCATTAGCAATTTCCAAATTTTCCAATCATATAGAAATGAATTCAAATGATCAAAGTTGGTAAAAATAATCGATTCATAATTTTTTTTTCTTTGCATTATAATCTAGTGCACATAACTAACTTGTTGAATGACAAAAAATTTCAGGAAATTGATAATACTTTCAAAAACCCCAATAATGAAAATATATCTTTATATGAATCGAGATATTACCTAAACAAATTCTTCAACCCAAAATTGCAAATGGTGAAATCCTAATGCTTTTTCTTGCCAAAAATTATTTCTCAACTAGTGTTTGCGTTTTGCGTAATGGTTTTCAAATTCCATTCAGTTTGAATAGAGCATTTCTTCAAGAATCATCAGTAATTGATTGTTGATTAATGACTTTTGTTTGGTTTCAGTTACAAATTTTTGAGGATTATGGGGATATATTTCAATTGTCAAGTCGTAATTTAAGAATTATTTTGTTTTATTGAGTTTTAGGTAAATTTTTCCTGGGATGCATCTTACTTTTTAGGGAATTTCATTTTTAAGTGATTAAGTGCGATCAATTTCAAAACTAAGAAACAAGGTTTTAAACACCAAAAATCAAATAGTAATTAAAGTTTATTTATGAAATAATTAAATATATTAAGATCACAATTCTATACTATTTGGTGACAAATAAAAAATTTTTAAGTCACAATTTATTCATTGATCACAAATAAGAAAATTCATAGATCACAATTTATTTATGAGTCACAAATCACAAACATGTTCACAAAATATTGGTCAAAGATTAATCAATTTATTGATCACAATCAACCAATAATTGGTCCTAGACCACCCCCCCCAATGCCATCCACCCACAAACACCACACCACCGCCACCACCTCTACCTCTATCTCTGCCGGCGACCAACGTCGTAATAGTTACAAATTTTATAGGCTATCGCTGCAACGCAACTAACAGAATATTTGAAAAAAAAAATGGACGACACACCACCACCACCACCACAGCAACCAACAAGCGACCCACAGTAGATCTAATTAGAAATTACCAACCAAAAAACAACCCACAGTATATCGAATAAAAAAATCCAAAAAAAACAATGAGGCTACACTATCAATTCGAGATGTAGCATCGCTGCACCACTGCACGTAGCTAGGGCTCCGAGGCAACACTACTGTTGTACCACTTCGGGCAACAGCAAGCAGCGTCGCCACGCACCTCCGAATGAGGGTAGGTTTGGGAACTGGATGAGAGGTGGGTGCGTGGGTGGGTGTAATTTCTACTACTTTTTAGTCCAATTCTAGGAGAGCCCATTCCATTAGACCTACGAAACATTTTAGTCCAATTCTTTCAGTGAGTGGCACGTGGGCCTGTGCAGATTCGGCCAGCATTGCACCCTCATAAACCATAAACCCTAGAGTATCCTCCATAAATTGAAGCGTCCTATTCTTGTGTTTTCGCATCAGCAGCCGATCACTCGCCAGTGCGTAGAGCAATTGCGATGACTGCAAGAACTCAGAGCAGACGTATGAATTAATTCATCAAACTCCTCGTTAGCAAAAGATTAACAATTTAATCAATTTTTTCGTTAGTCCGATTCTTGCGGGCCGGGGGGTGGGATTTTAGGATAGTTGAGGCATAAGTGGCAAAGACGGATGAGGTGGAGGAGGAATCCCAATGAAGAGAGGCTCTGATAGAGGTGGAGCAAGAGGCTGACGTCGAGGAATTAAGGGGGGTAATGGGGTCACAGTGTTACCTCATAAGCACGAGGGCTTGCTTTATGCTGAGGGAAATGGATGGTGTTATTCTCACCAAGAATATGGACTCTGGCGAAACTGTTTACAACGAGAAAAAAATCTCCACTCAGGTACATAGTTGATATGAGAGTTAATTAATTCTTATTTGTTGTTTTCATTTTTACATGTTTGAATTAGTTTGACAAGTAATGTTTTTGTTTCTTCTACACTAATCCGTTGAATTACTGGAGGTTTTTCTTCTCACACCATAACACTGTTTTAATAAACGTTTGTCCAATTAATAATTCTGAAAGTGATTGTTCTAAGTTATTTGTATGTTTCTGAAAAAAAAAAAAAATAGCAATGAAGAGTATCTAAAAACATAGTTTATAAATTTTTGGATTTTATTTTGTTGTGATCTTTTTCCCAATTGTTCTTATTGTCATCCTCTGTGACATGAGCAAAGGTATCTTGTTGTTCCAAGTTTACTATACTTTTTCAGGCTGTTGATTTTTTATTACTGTTTTTTGTAACCCTTAATTTTTTTGCAAGGTTTTAATCTCTCTTCATTATTGACTCAAAATGGTCTATTTTGAATTCATATTAAGCAGCAGATGATGAGTTACTCGGATTCCCCTTCAAGACATCTTGGGTGATGCAAAAAACCGAGTTCCTGATGCAATAACTAGATCGATATTTTATTTCATTTATTTCTTTTTTATGAGACACATTATTACATTATTACTATTACTATTTTGATTTTTCTCAATCTAGTTGGTGTGGGTTATTGAAGTTTTTTCTACCTCACATTCTCTTGTCAAATTACTTTGTTTCATTGCTGTAGAAGTATAGCCTTTTTTTATTTCTTAACCCTAGATGTTAACGTTCAAAAAGAGGAGTTCGTGTGAATATGAATAGTAAATGGCTATGAGAGAGTTTGTATTAATTAGATCAGTAGGGATTTGAATGTTGAAGACATGATGTGAATGTCACATGTGGCTTTATGTGGTACAGAAGATTTGCTTGCAGCTAAAATCCGTTCAATGCATACTTCTTGAAAAAGGGAGGCTCTTTTGTCTTGAAAATTAAGGTAATTCATATCATGTAAAGAGCAAGGGGGGAGGGAGGAGGGAAGAAGGAAAGGAAGAGAAGAGAAGGAGCCAACCGAACTTAACTAGAACAAATGAATTGAAGACGACAATCATTAGGGTTAAGTAGAAACAGTCCCGTTTTGTTTTAATTGAAATTGTATTAAGGTAGTTAAAAAATGCCTTTTGTATTTTGTTTGGAAAAGTGTGTTTTCTATGCTTTGGAAGCCTACAGATACATAATTGGGGGAAGATAAATTGCAGCTTTGTAATTTGACATTCAGTCATTTTGTTGAAATCGTTCAACGGATTTCTCATCTCTTTCTTCTATTTTTTTCTTTTACCTTATCCCCATTCTCTTTTATCTTTGTTTGGTGACATAATTTTAGTGGATTCGGTTGAGCTTAGTGCATTTTTTGTGTTACAGTTTGAGGGAAGCAACCAATAAGCAGCTAGATGTGACAATGGTTTCAGCAGCTAGAATCCTTGGGCATCTCTCATTTGGATAGCATAATGGAAGTAATTAATAGGAGGCATGAGCTATTGATTTCAATGATGACTGAAATTATTGAGGTTAAATCAGCCCTCAAAGATCAGCCCAACTAGTACACAGAAATATTCGAGTCTTCTGAAGCGCAAATGGGCGATTCAAATTCTAAATTGGAAGGGAACTGGGGTTTATGTTCTGAATCGAAAGAGAAACGGGCAAAGTAGGTCAATTTTTATGATTTGAACCGAGGTGATGATTCAGTAGTTGTAGTTACCAAATGTGTTGTTGAAATGGAAACTATTGTGGAGACTAGTATTGAGAAGTTGGAATCTGATTTAGGTGTTGAGAAGGATGAAGAAACTGAAGTTGAGAATATTATTAATGTATCTAATGTTGATGTAACTAATTCTGTTAATCTTGGAGTTTATACTTTTGTTTCTTCAGATGATGCTGATTATGGGAAGGGCTCCAGTGCAAAGAATGTATTAGTTTTGTATACTTTATAAACAATTGAATGGCAATGTTACTGATATGGAAAAATGTAGGACAAATTGGGGAAGAAGTGGGGAAAATGGGTGTTGATGGGAATACTGAAATTATGGTTGCTCATAAAGGAAAAGTGGAGAATGAAGAAAAATTGGTGCGTTAGGAGCATGCATTTTGTGTAGGAGATCTTGTTTGGGGTAAAATTAATGGTCGTTGTGGCTTGGACAAATTCATAATCCATTGGATGCTTCCGTTGAAGGTGAAGATGAAGTCGAGGTATAAGAAGATGTCGAAATTGAGAGCGAGGATGAGCCACAAGATGTCGATGTTGAGCTGGGTGAGAGTCATGACTTTATAGATGGAAAACATATTTTGTTTGTTAACCGAAAGTTGCTAATTTAAAATCAAGTGCTTATATCAAGCCTTGTGGAGAAATGTGTGTACAATTGGAAGAAAGTGCTAGGACACAAATACTCGTGGCATATTATAATGATCTAATTGGTGTTCTTGGGGTAGTAGATCCATGGAAGAGAGAAGTTTCTATTTTAGTAGAGTCCTCCTGAAAATTGGCTTGAATCCTATTATGGTTACTGGTGATAATTGGAGAACTGCTCAGGCTTTTGCTAAGGAGGTTGGCATTATAGATGTTAGGGTAGAAGTGAGAAAAGCTGGTGTTATTCATTTATTTTAGAAAGGTGGAAAAGTTGTTAGAGAAAAATAAATTGATGCCTTACTGTTTCAACCTGGTGATATATTTAAAGTACTTTCAAGTTCAAAGATGCCTGCAGATGGTTTAGTTGTTTGGGGTTCAACCTATATAAATGGGAGTGAGGGTGAGAAAAGCTAAAGTTCTTCGGAAGTTGAAATTGACAATCAAAGGGAAGGAAGTGAAGATGGGTATTTAGAGTGTCCTGATGAGGATGGAGATCTCCTCATTGTCATGAGTTCAAATTTACCTCGCAACCTTAAGCTTCCACTGGTCGATCAATAAAGTTTCTCAGCTGAAATAGTAACCAAATAAAAGAAAAATTGAATAGAGATATGATAAATGATGTAAAACGAACAAGAGAGGAGGGAGAAAGCTGTTGATTCAATTAACAATTTCATTGAAATTTGGATGAAAAACAATACAGACTTCTCCTCGCATTTGGGCTGCTATATATCCCTTCATATAGTTAAAAGTTTCATTTTCCCTACTGAAAGTATTAAAGCGTAAAACAAACCTATTACAATTTATTTAGGCAAAACAGTGTCATTTTGATTTAAAGCCAAATGATGTTATTGCAATTCCAAATTCTGTTAATTGCCGTTGGACTTCTTATTCCTTTCGGTGATGCTTCTTCTTATTCCCTAATTACTCTTTACCTAACAACCCTCACTCTCAAATTGATTTTATCCCCAAGGTCTACAAAGAGGAAATTTCGATTTAATCCATTTAGCATCCTCCCATGTCGAACTATCTGCAGGTAAATCTGACCATTTAATAAGATTCTCCTTTAGCTGCTGATTTAATCTATATCTTTGTTGAAGCCACTCTTCCACAGCTGCAACATTTGATTGCTGGTATGGTCCCAATGACAATTGAGGTGGCTTGGTTCCATAAATGGCTTCAAAGGGAGTCATTCTTATGGAGGAATGGTAGGAAGTATTATACCACCACTCTACTAGTGAAAGCCATTTTCAGTGAATTGCTGTTGGACTTCTTCTTCTTCCTTTCAGTCCTGCTTCTTCTTATTCTTCAATTATTCTTCACCTGACAACCCTCACTCTCAAATTGATCTTGTCCCCAAGATCTACATAGAGGTAATTTCGATTTAATCCATTTAGCATCCTCCCACGTTGAACTATCTACAGGTAAATCTGACCATTTAATAGATTCTCCTTTAGCTGTTGATTTAATCTATATCTTTGTTGAAGCCACTCTTCCACAGCTGCAACATTTGATTGTTGGTGTAGTCCTAATGACAATTGAGCTGGCTTGGTTCCATATAAAGTTTCAAAGGGAGCCATTCTTATGGAGGAATGGTAAGAAGTATTATACCACCACTCTACTAGTGGAAACCATTTTCCCTACTGTTTAGGATGTTGATATGTTATGCACCTTAAGTACATCTCTAAGCACTGGTTGAGTCTTTCAGTTTGCCCATCTGATTGAGGGCGATAAGCAGAGCTCAAGTGGAGTTGGGTGCCCATGAGTTGAAATAGTTCCTGCCAAAACTTGCTTGTAAAGACTTTATCCCTATCAGTACAATACTTTGTGGTAGTTCCATGGAGTTTAAACACAATGTCAATGAAGCTTCGTGCAACTGTAACGGCTGTGAAAGGATAGGAGATGGCAATGAAGTGTCCATATTTTGTAAATCTATCCACTACCACCATAATATTATCTTTACCCTCAGAATTAGGTAATCCTTCCATGAAGTCCATGCTAATGTGACTTCAGGCATGTAAAGGCACTGGTAAATGCTGAAGTAATCCAGGTGGGGCCCGTTCTCCCTCTTACATTTCTGACACACCTCACACTGCATCACCTTCCTCTTTATATCTTGATTCATCCTTGGCCAGTAGAAGTGCTGCTTGCCTCTATAAATACTGTTGTAGATTCCCGAATGGCCCCCTTCCGGAGATCCATGAACATTTTGGATCAATTTTGATCTAATTTCCCCTCTGGCTCCAATATATAATCTACCCTTGTACTTCAAAACTCCATTGTTGTACTGGAAGTTAGGATCAGAATTAGGATCCAGCAATAGGGATTTAACCTTGGTCTCAGCAAAAACATCTCTTGTATAACTATCAGTGACTTCTTGTATCCAAGTAGGAATCACAACTGTTATCCCAAAGCAGTCTTGTTTCCCTTCATGCCTTCTGGACAAGGCATCAGCAACTAGGTTATCAGCTCCCATCTTGTACATTATTTCATAGCAACCCTAGTAACTTAGTGAGCCATTTCTGTTGAAGTGGTGTAGTGATCCTTTGCTCAAACAGGTATTTGAGAGACTGATGGTCAGTCTTGATGATGAAATGATTGCCTTCCAAATAATGCCTTCACTTGCCCACAATTGTAACAGATGCTAATATCTCCTTTTCATAAATGGACATGCCCAAATTCCTTACTCCAATGGCTTTGCTTATGTAAGCTAGAGGTCTTCTATCTTGCATCAATATAACCCGAATTCCCCCTTTGCAAGCATCAGTTTCAATGATAAATGGATTATGAAAATCAGGTAGAGCAAGGATAAGTGTCACGGACCGTAGCTTTTACTTAAGCTTAGTGACCCTATCGCAACCGCAGTTTGCCCAACTTCGACCGCACATTGTAAATATTTCATTTAATTGTAAAATAGTTGAAAATTGGAAAAGTTTAGTATGATTCCTCGGCTTTTTAACGTCTACTCCCGTCAATTGGGTTTTTGTTGCTAAGTCTATTATAGGGGGTATTAGTCTTTCAAACATTTTCAAGCTTTCTAGTGTTCGCCCCCTGCACTAGCCATTGTAATTTTCTGCTTTCTTCTATTATAATGTTCAGCTTTCAAGCAATCAATGATCAAGTTTATTTCAATGCATTTCAATTTCATGTTGTAAGCTTTTTTTAAATTGTGATCAAATTTCCTTTCGTCCCGAAACGATCGAGAGTAGGCGGAAGGTAGTCTAGCGGAGCAGACTACTGCCGTACGGTGTCCCTTTCTGTGCTAAGAAGAAAGGTAACCCGTGAAAGTTGGTATCAGAGCTGCGGCTCAAGACCCTCGATAAGAAAGCTATGGATCTAATGGAATCGAACACCATGGAAGTGGTAGATCCTCAAAAGAGGAACACGAAATAGCACATGGATGTACTTGAGATAACAACTGCTAGGTTGTGCTGTGCCACGGAGAGTATCGACGAAAGAGTCAAGGCGACAGAGGCGGAGATTCGTGAATTAAACACCCAACTGGGCGAAAGTCGAATGGCTTGCACAGCAATAACTGAAGCTGTTGCTATCATACCTGATCTGCAGGATGAGATGGGAACGTTGAGAGCTCAGTTACTAGTGTTTCAACGTACGGTTGGCAATGGGCAAGTCACCACACAAAAGTCTGTGCATAGGCTCAGAATTCCAGAATCGTGTACCTACGGAGGGACACGCGATGCTAAAGAAGTTGAGAACTTCTTGTTCGATATGGAAAAATACTTTCTTGCGACTTCGATTCAAGATGAAGCGAGAAAGGTTACGACAGCTACCATGTATCTAGGTGGAGATGCAAAGCTATAGTGGCGGACGAAGTATGCTGATATTCAGGACATATGTAGAATATTTGAGATATGTCGGAAAAGGATAAGATGTTCACCTTCATGGAAGAGTTGGAACCATGGACATGCACGGAAATTCAGAGACAGAAGGTTACTGATTTAAGCGCAGCTATGGGAGCTGCCAAATGTTTAGGTGATTATCAACCGGAATCGAGAGAGGATCGACCTTCTGGAAATATTCAGTCTATTGGAGGTGGAAATAGACCTCATAGACCCAGCTCGAACTTAAATGGGGTTGCCTTGCTCTCTAATTTATCTCCATTAGCTACCTTGACTATCATAGTATTGATTTGATCTATGGCATAGTTCAATTCTTTAATCAATTTCTCATCCACAAAGCTGTGGGTGCTCCTACTATCAATAAGTATAGACACCATTGTCCCTTTGATTACTCCAAGCACTCTAATGGTCTTGGGCTTCAAACTTCCAACTAAGGCACTGATGAAAATTTCCATGACTTCTTCACCTCCTTTTTCCTCCTCAGATTCAGAATTCTTTTTCATCCTGATGTCCAGCCTCTTCCTCTTCATCTACCAGTATGAAATTGATGGACCTATTCTTACATATATGGTATACAATATACTTCTCATCACATTTATAACAAAATCCCAAGTTCATTCTTGTTTGGAAATCTGTAGGTGTGATGGTTTTGAAGTTATTGGTCAGTTTACTGGATTTGAAAGTGGGTTCAACTGTTTTAATTTCATCAGGTGGTCTAGTGGGGTGTGAATTACATCTGTTGGAATTAGGTAGGAAGTTATTAGGTTTTTTGGAATTTGTTGATGGCCAGTATTGTGGATTCCTACTGGCTTGCAATTTCAAAGGCTTTAGCTAGTGTATCAGGTTTCATCATCTTAACCATAGACCTGATCTCTTCCTTCAACCCATTAGTGAATACTGATATATAATAAGTTTCAGGGACATGAGGCAAAGATAAATCACTTGGCTTTCAATTCCTCAAATCTTTCCTGGTACTCAGCCATAGATCCCATTTGCCTTATCTTGCTAAAGGATTCAATCACCTCATCTCCAGTATTGTCTGAAAACCTTCTACATAACTCTTCAGAAAATAAATTCCAATAAGCATTTGGATGGTTTGCAATGAAGCCATCAAACCGAATATAAGCCTTTCCTTTTAGGTACATCTCAGCAATGCCCATTCTAAGGTCATCACCAACATGATGGAGTTGGAAATACTTTCTAGCCTTCCTTCGCCTCTTAGGGAGTTTTGTATCTCCCCTGGCATCATCCTTAGCCCGATTACCCATCTCTTGGACACTAGAACCTTGCAATGTCAGCCCACTACCAGCTCTTTGGTTAGACACAGGACACTCCACTCTCCTATTCTTTTGGTCTGCTATAAGGTCAGTTGTTAGTTGTGCCATCATAGCCACCATTTTCTCATACTTCTGATTCATATTTAGGACAATATCCTCAATTTTCTCTTGTCAGTGACCAAACACTTGGAGGGTTTGATTTGTGGCTTCCAATTTACTAGTCACAACCTTAAAATGTTGTACTTAAATATTTCTCTTGTCAGTGACCAAACACTTGGGGGGTTGGATTTGTGGCTTCCAATTTACTGGTCACAGCCTTAAAATGTTGTACTTAAATCTGCCATAGTATCAATAATTTCAACAACCCAGTCTGATACGCCTGCTTTGATACCAATTTGTCACAAGCTGAAATTTACCCCGTAACCCTAAGCTTCTACATGTCGATCTGTAACGCCCCAAATTTTATTGACTTAAAGTTTGGAGTGCTACCGATATCCTTTCATAATAATATTCGAAACGGAAATATTTAATTGAAAATTTAAACTTTTAATTTATTTAAACATTTATATATTGAATCAAACATAGAGTCATGAAATCTAAAACATTTAATAAAAGTAAAGAAAACACAACTATCGTAACATGATTTATTATTGAATATTTTTTGAAAATTATACTTGGCAACCTGCGTACCGCTCAGCCACCATCCACATTGACCGATCTAACCTGAAATGTTAAAATTTTAAAAGAATGAGTAATTTAAACTCAGTATGATACATGCGTCCAAAATAATATAATAACTTTTTAAACATAAATTTACAACATTCCATACCATCATTTCATCAAGAGCAATCGGAGATCAATCGAATGCTCTAACAAATTGCTATGCAACATTTGAGAAAACCCGAAGGAGATCTCACATTTCATTTCGTTAAGACCCGCAGGTCAATTAGCATTTCATGAAATAAATTACGTAGAAAAAATCATAATATTGCAAGGACATAATAACTTGCACATAGTATCCTACCTCGTTTGATAACAGAATTGTTGGAAGAAAGTAAGAAATTCATGTTCCCAAAACCTTTTCGCTGTTGTCGTGTCTATGTGCCAAGAAAAAATGTCGAAATTATAGTCTATAATAAAACATGAGTTAACTAATGATTGCCAAACACAAAACAAAATAAGAGCAATCAGAGATCAATCGAATGTTCTAACACATTTCTGTGCAACGTTTGAGAAAACCCGATGGAGATCTTACATTTTATTTCATTTCATTTCGTTAAGACCCACAGGTCAATTAGCATTTCATGAAATAAATTATATAGAAAAAATCATAATATTGCAAGGACACGACAACTTGCACATACTATCCTACCGCATTTGATAATAGAATTGTTGGAAGAAAGTAAGAAATTCACGTTCCCAAAACCTTTTCGCTGTTGTCGTGTCTATGTGCTAAGAAAAAATGTCGAAATTATATTCTATAATAAAACATGAGTTAACTAATGATTGCCAAACACAAAACAAAATTTTGGATACGTTATGGATTTAGGATTGATTCTGTTTCAACTTGGTGCCTAGACCCAATGCAAAAGTTGTGTATATATGTGCTAAGTCCTTAAATCTAATGGCACCTAATTAGGTGTAATTGGTGCTAATTAAATAATAAAACTCTTCCTTAAACCTAATTGCATAAAATTAGGTATAAGTGGTGCTAATTATGTGCCCCCGTTTGGCCCCCATTTTTTTTATTACATTATATTAATTTTCTCTCTTCGTTTTAATCACATATTCATCAAATAAAATAATATTACATACAAATCTAAAACTTTTCATTACTTTTCTACCACACATTTTTCCATCAATCACTATTCTAAAAATTTTCAACACCCCAAAATGGGGGCCAAACAAGGGCTAAGACACGTTTTACCTATAATATTAACCCATTTAAATACATAAAGTCATTTTTTTCCTATCAATCTACACATGGCAAAAAAAAAAAAAACATCCATATCAATTCCTAAAATCAAGACAATAAAAAATATTAAACTAAAACTAATGACAACGCCCATCAATTTCGCAAGATCAAGGCAACGAAAAAGTAAAGAAATAATTGACAACTTTTCCATCACTTCAGCACTAAATTACGATTTAGAACAATGTTTTTCGACTCCGATAACTTGGGCCTCGCTTATCTGAATTAGCTTTTTTCTTGAAGCTAATATGTATGATTAATTACAAGCTATCTAACAAGCTCAATACTGATATATTTATCATTACTCTATTAATATTTAAATATTTGACCCAAATAAAATTGAATTTAATATACGTTACTCTAGTCCACCAACTTTCAAAATGTGAAATGTAGTAGATGAAATAAATAATCTTATTCTATAAATTTTCAAGGCGTTACACGATCAATAAAGTTTCTCAGCTAAAACAGTAACCAAATAAAAGAAAAATTGAATGGAGATATGATAAATGATGTAAAACGAACAAGAGAGGAGGGAGAAAGCTGTTGATTCAATCAACAATTTCACTAAAATTTGGCAGAAAAACAATACAGACTTCTCCCTCACACCTCGGCTGCTATATCTCTTCATACAGTTAAAAGTTGCATTTTCCCTACTGAAAGTGATAAAGCATAAAACAAACATATTACAATTTATTTAGCAAAACAGTGTCATTTTGATTTAAAGCTTAACATTGTTGTTGTAATTCCAAGTTCTGTTAATTGCTGTTGGACCTCTTCTTCCTTTTAGTTTTGCTTCTTCTTATTTCCCAATTACTCTTCACCCGACACTCATAGAATCAGCATTTAAAAGGATTTTGATTTCCAAAGTTTTCGTTGTCTCAACTCTGATCCGCGTTACGCCAGCGCAGCCATTTAACTTCTGAAATTACCAATACCCTCCTGGAATACTAGAGGTTTCTTCTGCTGGTTCAGAAAACTTGGCAACGGTGGACAAGGAGCAACAACTATTGGAGCTCGAGTTGGATATAAAAGTAATGCTTTCACTGGAAGTTGTAAGCATCACATATGACAAGCTGTAAGAGCATCGTCAACATCACCGTATTATCTAGCACTCTGATGGTGTATATTGTGGCAAAATGGGGTTATTGTAGAAAATAATCCTACTATTTTTGCCATACGAGAAGCACAACTATTGACCGGACTACGATTTTAACTAACCATAGTTTCAATTGGTTGTGGGTGCATTCCAACCAAAGTTCGAAGGGTACTTCGTGCTATTGTGACACTGGACAAATTTTGATTGAGAGTACATGCTCTGTTGATCATGTGGAGGAAGCTCTGAGCTCATTGATTCCTATACTACTTAGTGTACAGTATTTTCGATTCAATCCCGTGGATGAACGTTGTGGTACGGAACTGGATGAAACTGATCCAGCGGTTTGGCTAAGGCTAGAGGATGCTATTGATGAGTACGCAGTTCAGAAGTAGATCGAAGAAGATGAAAATAGAATCCCTCAAGATGAAGAGGAAAATTTTGAGAAAGAACTAAGGTCAAAGGATATGATTCCTGGAGAAGATGCCACATTTGAATCTGAAGAAGAGCACAATGAGACATTCCACCTTGCCCTACTTGTTTAATCCAAGGGCAGTGAAGAGTTGTGCATCTCACTCAAGTAGTTCCAGGTGTTTCTTCAGTAGCATCACAAAGTTCTCAACCATCATTTCCAGGCGTTTCCTTGTTGCCGTCACTTTATCAGGGTAGGGTCCACAATTAGGAATGGAATACAATCAAGTTGGAAGCTCGAAGCAAACAAGTAGAGGATTCTCATGGATACCTTGTTTACATTAGAATACATCGGGAACACACCCTCCAGGGCCATCCATGTTCCTTGGTCAGATGGGTCATGGTAATCAGCCTCCTTAACGGCCATCAATGAGTCCTGAAATGGAGAAGGCACTACTTCAACAATTATGGTCCCACTCTATGAACCTTGAGGACAACGTTCATTTAAGGGGAAGGTTTATCATGTAAAGAGCCTGTGGAATGGAGGGAAAAAGGAAAGGAAGAGAAGAAAGGAGCCAACTGAACTTAATTGGAGCAAATGAATTGAAGACGACGTTGTTTGGGTTAAGTAGAAACGGTGTTGTTTTTTCTAATTGAAATTGTATTAAGTTAGTTAAAAAATGCCTTTTGCATTTTGTCTGGAAAAATGCATTTTCTCTGTTTTGGAAGCCTATAGATACATAATTGGGAAGATGAATTGCAACTTTGTAATTTGACATTCAATTGTTGAAATCGTTCAACAGTTTTCTCATCTCTTTCTTCTATTTTTTTCTTTTATCTTTGTTTGGTGAAATAATTTTAGCTAATTCAGCTGGGTTTAGTGCATTTTCTGTGTTACGGTTTGAGGGAGCCAACCGCTAAGCATCCAACCGTGACAATTTAATACTAGCTGTTGGGAGAAGTGGGATCTTGTTAATAATTGCCACCAACTGGAAATTATACAATATTAAGTAGTGATATTTAGTATCACTGGTATTTAACACTAGTTTAGATGACAATGCTAGTGGCATTAAAGACATATTTAATTAAATAACTTACATATCACTACTATATTTAACTTTCTATATTTAATGTCGTATAGATTGGTGCTATGGTGTTAGATAACATTATTCTATAATATTGAGTTTCCTAGAAATTAACTTTGGTTAGTTTTTACACTCTCATTCTTTTGGACTGTTCAGGCAAACTGCATAGACTCCACAATTCCTGCTGAAACAGTATTTGAACACGAAGTGAACAAGTTGAGGACTGAACAATTCGGACCCCATGAGCAAATCCCTTGTACCATACGAAAGAGACAATGCTTGTGTCTATGTTGGCTGCCACGTCCTAAAGACAAAAAGCTCATGTTTAGGGAATCTACTTCCGGGACCACATTAGATTTTGTTTATCATTTTAGGGGTACATCTTCAAATTAGTTTGAGGTTGAATTTATGTCTTGTACAATATTGATAGGTTTTTTTGGGCTAAACTTTGAGAAAATCAGTTAGACTACAATTAAGTCTTTTTTTTTCTTCTTCCTGCCAGCAAATTAAAAAGAAACAACTTGTATTCATAACACTAGTTGGACAACTCTCAATAGCTTGGAGGAAAGCATCTTTCATATATTTAATCATTTACCAAGTTTCAGTAATTATCTTCTATTGGTGAGTTCCATTTTTTGTAACCTCATCCCAAATTGCCCTGGCAGCCTCCGTAGCCATAGGATGATGTGATGTAGCATCGATTGAAAAAGTCCAGCAGAGAATTAGAATCCTCACAATATTTGCACTCAACAGATAAAAGAAGAAACAAATTGCAGCAGAACAGGACAAGAAGGAAGAAGCAGGCAACAAGCAAGACATATGAGTCGTCAAAGAGACGAACGGGGAGAGGAGAAAACTCGATCAACAAGCATTTTCATTCATTCATCGTCTAAGAAAATAGTCACTTTTAGCCATATAAATAGAAAATAAACAAACCAAAAGTCAAAGGCTTGGGCTACCCCATTTTTACAAGCCCAACTAAATAAAATAAGTAAACGATCCAATAATAACAAAAAGGAAGATGTCCCTAGGGGTGTCAATCTAGCCTAGCGGCTCGTTGGCTAGTAAAAAAAAAGAGCCACGAGTCGCCCAAGCTCGTCATTTGCCGAGCCCACTAGGCTCGTGGGCTTGTTTTTGTGAAAGGTTATTTTTTTATTTTATTTTTTCAGAAAAAGATATCTTAAAAAAAAATTAACGCACGAGCCACAAGCTCACTGGTCGAGCCGAGGTCGACCCGTGAGTAACGAACCGCTCGGTTCATTATAAACTAGTCGAGCTCGTGGGCATACTTGGCCCATTGCCACCCCAATTGGCAGTGTAGCTCCCATTCCACACCCTACTGGCTACTGGTAATAAAATAAGTTTTTTTTTATTGTTTTTCTAATAAAAGAATTGGAAAATTTCATGCTTTATTCAATTTTTGTTCATTATTTTAAGTTGTCTAAGTGATTATGGGTTGATGACAACGGTGGCGGACCCAAGGGGGGTCCTGGGACGGCCCATTGACACCACTACTTGGACAATATTGATAGGTTTTTTTGGGCTAACTTTTGAGAAAATCAGTTAGACTATAATGAAGTCTTTTTTTTTCTTCTTCCTGCCTGCAAATTAAAAAGAAACTACTTGTATTCATAACAGTAGTTGGACAGCTCTCAATAGCTTGAGGGAAAGCATCTTTAATATATTTAATCATTTACCAAGTTTCAGTAATTATCTTCTGTTGGTGAGTTCCATTTTTTGTAACCTCATCCCAAATTGCCCTGGCAGCCTCCGTAGCCATAGGATGATGTGATGTAGCATCGATTGAATAAGTCCAGCAGAGAATTAGAATCCTCACAATATTTGCACTCAACAGATAAAAGAAGAAACAGAATTCCAGCAGAACAGGACAAGAAGGAAGAAGCAGGCAACAAGCAAGACATATGAGTCGTCAAAGAGAAGAACGGGGAGAGGAGAAAACTTGATCAACAAGCATTTTCATTCATTCATCGTCTAAGAAAATAGTCACTTTTAGCCATATAAATCAAAAATAAACAAACCAAAAGTCAAAGGCTTGGGCTACCCCATTTGTACAAGCCCAACTAAATAAAATAAGTAAACGATCCAATAATAACAAAAAGGATGATGTCCCTAGGGGTGTCAATCTAGCCTAGTAGCTCGTTGGCTCGTAAAAAAAAAAGAGCCACGAGTCGCTCAAGCTCATCATTTGCCGAGCCCGCTCGGCTCGTGGGCTTGTTTTTGTGAAGGGTTATTTTTTTATTTTATTTTTTCAGAAAAAGATATCTTAAAAAAAAATTAAGAAGCTCGCGAGCCGACCCACGAGCCACAAGCTCACGGGTCGAGCCGAGGTGGACCCGTGAGTAACGAGCCGCTCGGCTCATTATAAACTAGCCGAGCTCGTGGGCATACTTGGCCCATTGTCATCCCTAGATGTCCGCATCATGATGCTTGTTTTGAGGCGTTGTCACTTCCTCTCCACCCCAATTGGCAGTGTAGCTCCCATTCCACACCCTACTGGCTACTGGTAATAAAATAAGTTTTTTTTATTGTTTTTCTAATAAAAGAATTGGAAAATTTCATGCTTTATTCAATTTTTGTTCATTATTTTAAGTTGTCTGAGTGATTATGGGTTGATGACAACGGAAATGTCATGCTTTTTTTCATTTTGCAGATACTATATTCTTTTCATAGCACTTCTCTTTGTAGGAAAGCTCATCTTTTTAGGTTGTCTAAATGATTCATGATAATGGGGTTGATGTAGGGGTTATTAATGATTTTGGGGCAGACAAAATTTCTCAAATTCAATTTCTTCTAATCAAAGATAATCTTATCATAAATCTAATTGGTGGTGCTGCCAATAACCCTAAAATTTAACCAGCCCAGCAAAATGCTAGCTGCCACTGCTTCAAAAGTTTGAGAAAGAGTGTAAATTAAACTCAGGGGTTGTTTGATCTCCATTTTTCTTTTTTCTTTTTTTGTAAATAGTGATTTTTTGAAGAATATGAGACGAAAAAGTAGGTAAAAATTTTAGATTTATACGTAAAATTATTTTATTTGGAAGATGTGCAGTTGAAAATGAGTTTTTACATAACGAGGCTCAAACATGGGTTCAGTGAGATTGAGTCAAAATAATTATAAGTCGAGTACCTTATGTTGGGATGAAATTTAAGACAATATAGGATGCAAGGACTTGTCACGAGGAATATTACCCAAGCAAGAGTGAAGTTACTCGAATAAAGAAAACATTATAATATGAAGATGGTTGGATGATCGACTGAAATAGAGATTTTGAAAAAGATGGCTTTATAAATAAGAAGTTGCTCGACTATTAAGAGATGGGTGTAAAGTTAAAATGAGAATCTCAAATGCATTGGATGTGGCTATTGGAATGAGGTCTTACATAAACTCACTTGAAATCTTCTGAAGCATTCATCTTTTGGTGGTGATAAAACTAGTTTCGATGAAAGGTATATAAGATGAAACGACTTAGAAGTTGATGATGCAAAATCTATTGTGGTCAAGGTTCATGAATTCTATTCTTTTTTTCATATGACGTGGAAACGAAGTTGACGATAATTAATTAGCATATAATTGAATTCAATTTTTTTACCTTTCAGTTAGATAGTTGAGAAGCATGCAATTTTGTTCAAATGATGATTTCTTGTAAGCATGCAATTAATCACTGTGATTGACCTTAAAAGTATGGGCTGCCTCCAAAAATAAAAGACATGATCCACGTGGAATCCACATGAACAATACGTGAAATTTACTCCAATTTCCTTTCTTCCAATTACCCGTAGGATCTTTTGTTGTTCAGAAAAATATTAGCAAACAAAGAAAAATAAATAATATAACGCACAGTTGGACCGTCAAAGTTTTTCACTATATGAAAAATTGTT